ACTCTTATACTTGTCAAAACTCTATTGATTGTCTTCACTCATCTTCCTGTCTACCTTTATGTGCTATTTGTAACGTGGCAACTCAAACTGCTGCACTTCGATGTTAAGTTCTATGTTGAATCCAGCCAGCCAGCCACAATAAATATTATCTCCATTAAATTTAAATATTTTCTTAGTATTTATGATAACAGGTAAATCTGTTGCTTTTTCGAGGATTCCCCGCCCCCTTGAAACAAATTTGAATATGGGGATTGGAAAGCCCGTCTGTACTGTATTCTGTTCTCCACTGTCATTTTTGGCTGGCTTCACTGCTACTCACAAGCCTTTCATTTAGTTTTCACATGATCTCCTTCAATCACTTTCGGACTCACGTCCAAGTTGTCACTATCTACTCGAGGTGCATTAAGGAGCCTGACTGGTGTGTGATTTCTGTTGATTGTATCCTCAAAGAATTCCTGATCCATTTCCATTTTCCTCTACATATTTGTCGAGTAACAGCTTCATAGTTATTTCACTGCATCACCAGAGTTCCTTGTTGCATAACTCTTCTGACAATCTGATCTTGAATAAAGCAACAATGACAAATGCACGAGGATAACCTGAGGTCATGTCTTTTTTCTATTATTTCGTGGATTCTGCTCAACTGGTTTCAACCTGAACAATACCAAAATGATAAATTAAATTAAAAATCGGAATATACGTTTTTTACAGTGATTGGAACTAAGAGAAACATTGGGCGGAAATGTTGTAAGTTGTCAAATAATTCAGTGAAAAAGGGCCGACTATTTACAGAAGAATTGCATGGCTAAGCTTGGAAACAAAAGAACAGAGTTCAACGGATGTTTCTTGGGTAGAACCAAAGTTTAACTAGAAAGAGTATAAAAAGTAATGGGTTACGTGGCCACGGAAAAACATGTTTTCATAAAATAGATAAAAAGGGGGGTAGGATGAGTCATGATTAAACAAAAAACCAAGGTTTTTAAACAGGACAGAAGATGAGGTAGTGAAATTCCTGTGCTTTGTTATCACCAAGGCAGTACAAGATTCATCACTGTCTCTTTCAGCGTACTTAGGTTTGGTTTTAGCCGTTTGATGGCGATTGCCTCAGCAAAATGAAGTAGGCTAGGTTTCCTTAGCCTATTGATTATTTTGAACGCCTCCAGGTTGTCCACAACATGACCAGTGTCTAGTAGATGGCGTGCAATCGCACTGTTTAATGCTTGTGGGCCCTTCAATCTCAGATTCTTGGATATGTGTTCAGCGATGCGGACATTAACTCTTCCTCCAATGTATGTGCTTTGGCACGTACATGTAAATTGGTAGACACCGTTGGGAGTAACATGAGATGGGAGTTTGTCCACTTTTGACTATCTTAGACAACAGGTCGTTTGATAAACGCATACAAGCTTGACAGCTGGATGTGTTCTTTTCAGGGTAGCGTTCAGTATGCATTTTATTTTACTAGCGGTATCATCATCTTTGAAGCCAAGCTGTGGAAAGATGGTTTTTTCTCCACTGCGCTGTATTTCACCTTGTCAAGACTACGTTTTCCATATTTTTCGATGAACTTCTGTGGATAACCATTTTCAAGCAGGCATTTTTCAACAGTGGCTAGCTCTTCTTGCACTTTTTCTTCTGAACAAAGCTTCCTTACACGACCAAACAGTGTTTTGTAACTTATAGGTCAGGAGCTTCTGAAGTTTAGGTAAATCGCCCTCCAGATCTCATTTCTATAGGTGTACCTCATGACTTTACCGTCTTTATCATGTCCGATGCCAAAGTCCGAAAAGTGAAACTTGTCCTCATCTTTACACTCCATTGTAAACTTTATATTAGTATGAGCACTATTCAAGGCGTTTAATATTTGAGATGTTTCATTGAAATAATCACAAATGACTGATGTGTCATCGACATACCCGGTGTAGAAGTCTATCTGATCGATTGCGACCTTCATTCTTGTTTGCTCCAGGCTGCTCATAAATATGTCTGCCGCAATCGAACCCAGCGGACTCCTCATGGCGTCTCCATCAATTTGGCGGTACAGAACATTTTTAAACTGAAACTATGCGTCCTAAGTACATATTAGCAGTATCGAGTTACAGAAGGCATCCGTTCATGAAAGTCTAAAGCCATCAACTACTGTTAGCTATATTATTTACTTTGTCGCTTTATATTCTGAGTAAAGCATAAGGCTTCAAGTCTGAGCTTTAAAGTTTCAGTAGCAGTGGTTTCTTTTTTTACAGAGTGGGATTGCTATCCTCACGTCCAACCTCTCCTCTTCACGGAGCTTACTACTGTCCAAGAGAGATTTAGGAGTGCGCCGGTAGGGTACAGAACCCCGGCAGGCATTCTACCGCTGCACCACCAAAGCAGTATTAGCCTTAGAATCTCGTTATTTATTCTCCATAAATTACTGCATTAAAGCATACTGCCTACATTCTACTGCTGCTTACTCAAAACCGTTTGTTTTGACTATACGAATTCACAGTGATTAATATCTTTGATTATTTTAAAAGTTACATTAAAATATTTCTCAAATCCCATGATCCTTTTTTTCCAAGGCTTGTAATACTGTCTTCATCTTATTACATGACTCTTTTTCGATTTTCAGGCTGGCTAAGCGTTTGATAAACTATCTTGTTTGCAGGTAAATTAAATACTCTAATATTAGAACACTCAGCCTCACAGTAAGCAGATTGACAAAATGTCGAATTATACTTAAGCAAACAAGTTGCTTTTAGAATAAAAATTAATATTTACAAGTAAATAATCTGTGCTGGAATACTCACCAACCATGCATGGCATGGTCTGGGAGGTTAGATACCTGGCCAACAAACACCTGAACCTCGTTTAACCGGCAGTAAGCCCCTGTAAATGAGGAAAGAATGAACTTGAGAGTAGCAAATCAAAAAACACCACTGCTACTAAAGTATCAAACCGGGGGCCTGAAACCTTGTGTTCCACTTGCAGCGTATTGGGATGTAGAAGGGAAGACGATCATAGAAAGTGTGTTTTCGCCTCAAGAATTCAAAAACAATCTGTCAGCATTAATCGAATTTATTGCATCATAAACTATCTAATATCCAGCTGTCGATACTATTTTGTTTGTTTATAAGAGAAGAGAAAATAAAAACATGGTCTGATAACTACTACTAACTACAGAAATCCAACGTCTTCCAGCTAATACCTAGATTCTATGTAATCCTAACTTGTGTCAGCTAATTCTCAGTGACTGACTGGTCTCAATATACAACAGAAGAGCAGCATTTCGAGTTGCCACACTCCAGGTAGCACACAAAGAAAAACGAGAAAGAAAACCAGAGATTCGAAAGGACGACAATAAGCAAAAATATGAGGGATATGGAATGGTAACACTGAAAAACCACAGGGTTTTAGTGGATATGACAGATCACGAAATCAGTTATTACAATTTCTGTGCAGTGTTGAACCAACCAAATTCAGAGGTTAATCAGTAAGTTTATGAATCTAAGCCAGGAAAAAAACATACTGAAAAGACACAGTCACATTACAGTTATCCTCCAGAAATTGTTCGCAGTAACACACGCACAAGAATAAGTGATACCAATTTTAGTCGTTATCAAAACACAATTGAGAAATGATTCAACACCTCTATATTGGTAACATAAAATTGCCATCAACGATGAGATTCGGATAACACTTGAGGATATAATTTTATTAGATTGTAGGAGGCAATCGGAAGGAAGCCGACTACCTAAGTTTCATGCTTGTTGGCAGTTACCAGTCATAAAGGCGTATCTTCAGTCTCCGAGGAACTCAGGTCCTTTCTGAGGTTCAAACCTGTGTTACCCAGTACCTCGGTTAGAGGCATTACCACTCAACTGTTTGGGCCGGCGATTGAACTCCCGTAGGACTGTACTGGGTACTTTTGTTGGATAGCGGTCAATGAGTAGCTAGTCATTAGTGTTAGTGAAGACTGAATTTAATCAGTCAGTTTATTCAGTGATCAATTTTATCAGATTAAAATCCACATAGATAAGTCTAAGAAAACAATTTTACGTGTCTATGATGAGATATCTATTGATTACACAGCTTGAAATAGCTGATCAGGGTTAGTTTTATGGTCAGTCAACAAACATTTGACAGGATTTAAAGTAGTACACCTCAAAAATATAAGTAATCAAAAAACTATTATTGGATGGACGAGTTCATCATGAGCTGAAATCAGTTAGAGAACCACTGGAAAACCTGAGAGTACTGGACAACTGTTTCGTCCCAGTTTGGGACTCTTCATCAGTACGCACCCACCGGGGTTCAAACCCAGGATGAAACAGCTGTCCAGTACTCTCAGGTTTTCCAGTGGTTCTCTAATTGATGTCAGCTCATGATGAACTCCTCCATCCAATCAAACTAAATCCCTACAAAACCAATACTTGAAAAAAAGTTTAAACTACTACTATCCACGCACTGATACACCGTCATAGTGTAGATTGGCACATAGCCACAGACTATACGATCAGTACAGATGAAGATGGAAGGAGAGGCTGACCACTGAATCTTCATTCATCGAATAGAAGACACCTTTTACAATGCAAGTAAGACGATACAAGACTGACCCCAGAGATATGAAATGAAGAGTATAAAACAACTGAAATACAAGAACCGAATGGTTGCAGTATGGCATCATTCTGTTTTTGACACACCTGCAATAACGTTCTTTCATAAGGAAGAACTTTCTCACTTCAATTTTAAGTGTAAAGTACTTACAAGTGGATAAATCATGACTTCATAGTGCCATTTCTATCATGCTGTCAGATTATTTAGTTTCAGGGGATATTTCCACTTACATCTCACATAATTTGGTTCGTTATTGTTGATAGAACTGGTGACTAGTTGAGTAATTTAACTTGTTGCTAAATTTTGATGTTAATGATGAATGTGTTTTTATTTATTGTGATAATATTGTTCACTTAAAAGCCTGTTATCAATATTTTATCTCTATTATTACTGTTACTGTTTAGGAGAAACATTCAAACTGAAAGGTCTTGAACTACGTTCTCTATTAACCTCAACTCATGAGTTTATGACTTATGAAGGGTCACTGCCGTTTCCTCCATGTCAAGAAACAGTAACCTGGATTATACTCAATCATCCAATAACCATTAGTGAAACTGAAGTGAGTTTATATGAAAATATCCCAATGCTTAGCTAATTTTTTTGAAAAGCTTGAATTGTTCTAGTTGTTTTCAATAACACTGTATGAAACTTAATAGCACCAAATGGGATTCAGGCTATGATGACGGATTCTGAACACAGACACACTTAATGGCTCTCAGTATTCGACATATTTCTTTACATGAAGATGACATTCAGCTTCGTCAATCGAGAAGTGTTGTGGTTATATCTGGCTGTGAATGGCATGAAAAGTATATCTTAATAAGTAAGATCATAACTTTACATTAGAACTTAAGAAATGTCGTCTTGTACTTAACTAGAGATGAGCAGTAGACTAATTTCTAAGTGTTGGATTTATAGAAAATCGATAAACCTCAAGGTCTGTTCACCTTGTAACTTGAGAGTCTTTAGTTTGACCACAAGTGAGATCATAAGTGCGTACAATCGAAAAATCTCAAATGAGGATGAAACACTTATTTACTGCTTTCCAGTTTTCAGTGGTTCAATAAGCAGTGTCAGTATGTAACGAAATATACTTTGAAATCATTCGAGTCTCCATAAAATCAAGCTCTTTAAAGGCCGAGAAATTTATGCTGTAATATTTATTATAAATAACGGTCTGTTTGCCAAGGTTTATACACAGCATGAAGAAATAAACCTAAGTAGGTTTACAGGAGAATATTACCTTTAGTGCTTTACAGTTATTTTACCCAGCAACCAAAATTAATTCCGGATACACCTTTGGTGATATGATTATCTGAAAACCTCTACGTCAACCAGTAGCGTCTATCAGTCATACTGGGATTATCAAATTACCAAAAAAGGTACATTTCGGGAAATTATTATTATTACTGTTTCCTTTAATTCCTACAGGAACATAGGGCTTCAGCCGTGCGTCTCCAATGCGTTCGGTTCTCTGCTACAGTCTTCACCTGGCTCCAAGTCTGTCCACACGTTTTCATCTCCTCTTCACATGACCTCCTCCATGTCCCCCTCGCACTGACGACCAACTCGCCGCTTCCCTTTCGGGTTCCACTCGAGCAATGGCTTGTCTAGTGATGTCACTTGATGGTTTCCTCAGAGTGTGGTCAATCCATCTCCATTTCTTCCTACCTATTTGTTTCACAATCGGTTCCTGGTTGGTTCACTCATTGTCAGAGGTCTCTGTTGCTGATCTTTTCTGGCCGGCCATCTGATCTTGAGTATTGAGCGAAGACAACTGTTAATGAAAGTCTGTAGTTTGTTTGAGATGCTCTTTATGACGCGCCAAGTCTCTGATCCATCCGTATAGTAGCACTGACTTCACATTGGAGTTGAAAATCCGGATCTTGATGATATTTGATGCTGAGTGTTGTTGACCTCCACACAAACTTGAGAGTAGTGAAAGCTTGTCATGCTTTTCTGACCCTAGCTTTGATATCCTCGTCAGTTCCGCCTGTAGTTGAAACGATGCTTCCCAGGCAGGTAGGTAAAAGAGGTTAATTCTTTCAGGTTTCTCCCATTTATGCTGATCATTGTCTGTTGTTGTTGTAGCTGTTGGTGGTGTTGCCCAGGAATCTTCATCACCTCTGTTTTCTATATGTTCACCTGAAGTCCTATCTTTGATGCTTCTTCTGCCAACTTGTTGCTATTCATTTGCATATCTTCCAGTTTGTGGGAAATCAGACATAAATATATCATCGGCGAAGTCCAGATCCAGATCGGGAAATTACTTCACATGAACTACCAACCGTGAACATTAAGAAGGCGGAGGTGATGAAGATACTCAGCGACCAACAATAGCAACAAGCACCATTCACTACCAGCAGAAGAAATTTGAAAGACGTCACCTCCTTCACTTATTTGATCAGGCAGCATCGTTCCAACTATGGACTACATCATGGATGGGGATGTGAAAGCCAGAACTAGAAAGGTGAGACAGACCTTCATCACTCTGAAATCAGTTTGAGGATCTTCTACATCCAGTATAAAGAACAAAATCAGGATTTTCAACACCAATGTTAAATCATTCAATCGGTTTCTTCTGTATGGATCAGAAAATTAGCGAACACTTCATGAACACCATTCCTCACAGCCAGCTGCAGACTTTTGTCAACAGCTGCCTTCTCTAAATCCCAAGTGAAGGTCCGATGGCCAGCAAGCCAGAATGAATTCGCGATAAGGAACTCTGAGAAGTGGGACCAACAAAGAACCTGTTCCTCAACAAATGTAGGGAAGAAAATGGAGATATATGAGACACATGCTGAAGAGGCCACTGGGTGACATCGTACGCCAGGTCATGGTTCAACTGGAATTTGAATGAGAAACGACGAGTTTGGCTTGGATGCGAGGGTGACATGGAGGATATTGTCTGAGGAGAAGCAGATGGCAGCCTATGATCAATCGTGGAGTCAGCTAGAAAGAACCACAGAGAGCCAGACAAACTCTAGATGTGCTGCTGAAGCCTTATGTTACCCTCAGAATCCAAGGGAATAATCATTAATTATCGATGGAATTATCCAGTTATTTGTTTAAATTGTCAGTCACATCCAATTCAAACAATTCCGAACAGTTCAATTTACATACACTTCACTACACTACACTACAAACTTGAATAAATTGGAAGAATTTCTTAAATAATTCCCATTACCACCAAACAGTCAAAATGTGAACCATAGATTATTATCAAGAAAAAAGAAGGCGTTTAACAGAAGACGTTTAAACAGAATTGTTTATTGAAAAAAAGTGGCCAGAAAGAAAATACCCATGCCTTTATATATGATTGTATTACACTTCAGAGAGAAAGAAATGCCTTATAGAATTGCCTCTCAGTACTCTTCACTGCCTTCTTACGCCTTCACTCACTCACTCACTCAAGTCAAAGAGTTTGTTTTTCAGTCAACTTTACTCTTATTCACCTTAAAAGTTATATAAGAGTATAAGAATGCTTGGAGAAAACTGCAAACCAGTGGATATTTTCCCGTATATACACTAGCCGTGACATATAAGGCTTGTGAATAATACAGAAAGATGAAAGTCTCCACTTATACATGTCAATTTAATTACTTTAGTTGAACGCGTTTCCTTTTTTTGATTCCTATAAGAAGAAGGCTGTGTGTGAATGTATGATAAATCAGCTAAGTGAGCTAAAGAGTACAAACACCACTATTTTAAGTAACTGACTAAACACAACACTTTAAAAGCAATGGAAATTTTCATTTTCTGTGCACACGTGTGCATTGATACGCATTGAAAAATGTGTACAATAATTGTATAAAGTTGAATTCTAAAATTAAAATAATATTTCTTTACACTGCTTGTATTTCATTCATTTATATTTTAGGGTTATTCTTGGCCTAAATGAATTTTTTTTCTTCTCCGTATCCCACTGTACCGGTGTACATAAAATTATCTCTGGTAGTGAAAAGGAAAATGGGGAAAAAAACACTTCCGAGACTAATTCAAAATCCTTGAAACACACAGTTCTCTAAGTAGATTTCAATTGTGTGTTTTTTAATATAAGAAAATGTATAATTTCAGTTCAGATACGTTTAGTCTAGTTTTATAAGTTAAGAGGAAAAATTGTCTTGAAAGAAAGATAATCTGTATTTTACCGATTTCTTAGTTTGATGGATATTGTTAGAAGTAGTCTCGAATTCGAACTTCATTTGTTTCACTCGATGTCAAAAGAAATACTTATATTTCTCATAGTTTTAGCAAGATTATATGAGCTGATTAAGAGTAAGAAATGTTGCTAAATAGATTAGCATATGAAAAGATTAGCTGTCTTTCACAGCATATATCTGCGTTCTGTTCCTCTTGCTAAGTGGTATAATATGGTGAGTAATATGGAGGTTAGGCTTTAAGTTTTATGTAAGGAGGGAAAATTAACTTATGAAATTGTGATGTTGCATTGACTGAGGAAGCTAGGATGTTTGTTGCTCATACCAAATCACCCCCTTGATTGTTCAGAAATGTTAGCTCATATTGAATTAGGTTTAACCTCACCTAGTTAACTAGCTCGCTAGTTTTCTAGCTGGTCTCAAGCCCGGGAAAATAGGGAGGATTAGGCTGGGAGGTAGCGATTCTACCCCCTCCCCCCCCTAAAATCAGCCAGACTGATACAGAATCGGAGGGATGAAATGACGCTGAGTGGTGAAAGCCTTCGGGAAGTCAGTCAGCCAGCCAATGTCTTCTTTCGATGAAAGCAAGAATAAGAATGACGACATGGAATGTAGGCACAATGTACAAGGCTGGGAAGGCTACTTAGGTAGCCAAAGAAATGAAAAGATATGGCATAGAAGTGCTGAGTATCTGCGAGAGCAAATGGAATGGATCTGGGCTTTCGAAATAGCCAACTTATGAGTCGGTAGTCTACTCCAGTCTGGTTATCCAAACTACAACCACGACCACACTGAGGTAGTGAGTGGCTGACATTTTGTCACCAGTGGCAGCCGAAGCTCTAATGCAGTCTGAACCAATCCCCTCCTACACAGTAATGATAACAAGATTCCACTCAAGAGGATAGAAGGTCACAATTATTCAATGCTACTAACAAAGCGGAACAAGAGACGAAGGAAGGTTTTTACAGACAAAAGCAAACAGTAATAGACAACATCCCAAATGGTGACATCAAAATCCTCATGGGCGATATGAATGCCAAACTGGGAGCTTATAATACAGGAAGAGAACTCATCATGCTTTGAGAGGCTATCGCTCGGCGAAATGAATGAGAACGTTGAATTATTCACAGAAGTCTGCACTTACAATGATTTGGTGATTGGAGGCAGAGTGTACAAGCATAAGGATATACACAAAGCAACATGGATTTCACCTGACGGACACACTACAAACCAGATAGATTTCATATCGATCTCAAGGAATTGAAGATGCAGCTAGCTTGCTGGATACAGAGTTGAAAAAAGGAACAGGTTTGGGCTCAGACCATCATCTAGTTCAAAGAACCTCCAAGGTGAAGCTGAAATCCTTGAAAACAACTGGAAACAGGCCACTGTAATTCAAGTTCAACATTCAGAAACTGAAAGACAAAACTGCAGGAGATACCTTCATTACAGATCAGATCAGAGCAAAGTCAGAGACAATACGTGTCACCACTGAAGAAACCTGTGTGGAACGACATTGGAACTACCTCTCTGAAGGTGATGTTCAAGGAAACGTGTACGGCCGTTCCAGGAAGAAAGAAGAGGCAAAACAAGGAATGGGTCTTAACGGATACCTGGAAGCTAACAGAAGACAGAGAAGATAACTCAATGCAAAGATGGACAACAGAAGGAAAAGCTGAGTTCAATGCACACTGCACTGAATCAAGAAATAAGTGAAGAAGAGTGCTATAATTGACAAAAAACAGTTCTAAGACACACTAGCAAATGAAGCAGAACAGTCAGGGTGCAAGTAAAAGAGACCTGAGAACATTATTTCCGATAACCAGGTCTCAATCCGGGAAGAGGTCGATGCAGATGAAACTTATTAAGGATGGCGAAGAGAACCTAATTACCAAGGAGGAGAAACAAATAAAACAGTAGACTGATCACTTTAAGGAACTCTTGAATCGACCATCAGTTGCAATTCGCCCAGAAATACCACAAGTAGCACTCACAGAACTGCCTATCAGTGAACAGCAATCCTCCAGCGAAAGCAGAAATCCTAAATGTGATCTAGCTACTGAAGTGCGGGAAGGCAGCTGGCCCAGACAGAATTTCCCCCGATGCACTGAAAACGGACCCAGAGTCTCTGGCAGATGTACTCACGCCATTACTAAAAAACGCTTGGAAGGAAGATGTACCCACCTTCTGGAATTAAGGTAACCTTTCGAAACTACCAAAGAAGGTCAAATTAGGCCTGTGCAAGAGCTAGCTCTTATCCACTCCAAGTAAAATAATAAGTCGCATCATCCTGGAGAGAATAAAAGATGTATTGAATGCAAGACTTCGACCCGAAGAAGCTGAATTCAAGAAGAGCAACTCATGTGAGGATCAAATTACAACAATATGCAACATTATGGGACAGAACACAGAATTGTAGTTAAACTTCTGCATTGGCTTCATCCTCTTTGGAGAAGTCTTCGACAGCGTTGGCCGCGAATGGATTTTGAAACTACTATGGAGTTCCCCAAATCTATTTCAACTTCATTTGGCAACTATATGACAAGGACGCGTGCCAGGTGATCCACAGTACAAAACTCTGAGAGGCTCTTCAAGTGAGTACAGGAGAAGGACAAGGCTATCTACTATAACCGATGATATTCCTAATTGTGGTCGACTGGGTTATCGGTCAGACTATGGGAAGCGAGAAGATATGAAGAGAACTCCAGAAGATTTGGATTTCGCGCATGATTTGTGTCTGTTGTCACACAAACTTGAAGATCTACAGACGAAAACCAACAAAGTTGGCAGAAAAAGTCACCAGCTAAGACATGACTTCAAGTGAACATAGAGAAGACGGAGGTGATGAAGATAACCAACCAGCAACAACAACAGCAGAAAGCACTAATCACCATCAACAGGAGAAATTCGAGTGAAGTGACTTCCTTCACTTGTCTCACCAGACAGCATCGTTTTAACTATGGGGCTACAGAACGGATGAGAATGTCAAAACTATAATCGTAAATGCAAGATAGACAATTCGCTGCTCTGAAATCATTTTGGGAATCTTCGGCACTCAGTCAGCATAAAAAACAATATTCAGATTTTCAACACCAATGTTGAGTCATTCATTCAGTTCTTCTATATTACTCAGAAACGTGGCCTGGGCGTCACGAAAAGCATTTCCAACAGACCACTGCAGACTGTTATCAACAGCTGACTTCTCTGACTCCATACTGAAGATCAGATTGCTAGCCAGCAAGAAAAAATTGACAAGAAGAAACTCTGAGAACGCACGCACCAATTGAGAACCTGTTGCTCAATAAATATTCTGTAGAAAATAGAGATGGGTCGGACAGATACTGAGGAGATAGCTGGGTGACATCGCACTCCAGGTCATCACTCGAGTGGATCCAAAGTGGAAAACAACGAGTTGGGTGTGATTCCAAGTGTAACATGAAGGTCATATGAGGAAGAGATGAAGTCTTATAGGCAACCCTGGGGCCACCTACAGAGAACAAAGTGGAAAGGAGATATTCTATTGAAGCCTTATGGATCATTAAGAACCCAAAGCAACAATAAAAGTCATAATAATTCAGACATTAATCAATTATCTATTCTACTAAGAATCTAGTAGTAAGCACTATTTTCATATGCCACTGATCTGATACATTACATGCATATAGTTCTGCAGCCAATCATATAGTATTTGAACATGCATGCTGAATTTTCAAGAAATGAAGTCACATCGTGAGACTTATTGTAAACAATGCTATGCTCGACTGTTATTTTATCTTGCTCTAGAACTCTGTAGCTATGGTAAACGGTGAATTACTAGAACTACATATAATGTGCCATTAGATTCCCAGCCCTATGAGTAGAAAGTAGTATAATCGCTTAAAAACCCAGTTGTCCCAATATCAACACATCTGATTGGTGCAAATGCAAACTGGTTTAAGAAGTTTGTAAACACTTTCACCTTAAAAAAAGGTTGAGTCTACACGAGTTTATTAATCAGAAGTTGAGATCAATGGCAATATTTTCGTATTATACTATGCATGCACCTTCATTAAAAGTATTTCTAAATTTATGATACAACTGGCTTTTTTTGTACACTTTTCGGTTCACAGTTAAAAACCCTTCGACGACTTCGTGTTGCAAACACATTATGGTCAGGATCAATGGCTGACAATTTTCGACCAGTTCAAGCTATCAATAATCGATCAGTTCGTACAAATATAAATTTTCATAGTCCGGTAAGAGTTCTGTTTATCCTCTTGGTGTTTATGTTTTTTACCTTAACAATAAACAAACAAAAATATAAATGAATCAAAATCACTTAAAAAACAGGAAGACAGACTTTTTTCTAAAACGCTAGACATTTTATTCCAGAAAATATTGATATTATTGCAATAGTTTTCTGTTTCTAAAATGATTTTATCATACAGTCAGAAAATGATGAATACATACAATGGAATGTTGAGAAATTTCTGTGTACATGTCAAAACTCAATTGACATTAGATATAAAAAGAGGAATGACTGGAGTAAAAAACTACCCCAAAATTTGGATAAGTTAGCATCATGAATTCAGAAGTCAAAGAATTATAATGTGCGACATGACTCACTGGTTTTATGCAAGGTATTTTCCTATTTTCTCTCTCTATTTTCCCAGTTTCTAAACGAAAGCTTGAAGTATTCTAAATACTTCAGGCAATCGGTTCCCCTTACTAGTCTGAACAATGAAAGAATGAACATGCTTGCAGGATAATATGAGCTCGTTTTATCTCGTGGATTCACCTCAACTGAGTACATCCTAAACACTAACAAATTATAAGTTACAGAGTTTCTGAACATACCTTTTGTCACAGTGATGTCGAGTTACAGATAGAAAGTATAAGCAAAATAATTCCAAGAATGCTGTAAGTAGACAAAGTATTCAGTGTTAAAAGACTAACCACTCATAGTATAATTAGACAAAAGGTAGGCAGAGTTCAGATTTTGCTTGGAAATAAGATCGAACAAGAGGGTGAATGTATACACGTTATGATGAAGAGACTGACTGGTTTCAACGTAGAAATTTGCACAGATGTGTACCAGTTCGATTTGCCACACTGCATGTAGCACACAAAACAAGAGAGGAAAGTAAAAAGAAATGCAAAACAGAGAAAGTAAACTGAGATATGAGGCAACAAAAGTAGTAATATGGAAGAACAATATAGTTTCATTGGAAATGATAAGTCACAAGGAGTGGATGCATCTGTGCCAGCCACTGAGAACGATTTTGAGCCATATCACCGAGCCGGGGACTCCAACCACGAAGTCTACATCCTTCTACGTGACTTAAACTAACTGCTGTGGATTTCATTGATTGATGAAGCCGTATTTTGGTTTGACCACCACTGGCTCTTTTCCAACCTGACCCTGCGTCAGCTAACATTGACCACTGTCAAGGAAGGCGATGACTAGGCATACCTAACACATATTATAACCATCTCAGTCGATGTAGCTTCACAGCCTCGTCGATTGATTTGCCCTCCTTACCTATCACTCGACGCCTAACCTCAATATTGCTCACCTTGATATACCACTTCACACGGGAAATTGAACGCAGATGCCTATGTTCAAAGACACCCAGCCAATCGTTTCATGTCTTCCACTCTTAATGGCCAGGTTGCACAGGCATAAAGCAGGACGGGGAAAACTGCTGAGCGGTACATACGTCCTTTAGTCGACATCTAGCCGGATAACACGTCTACGCCAGAGACGGCGTAAACTGGCTTATGCGAAACTAGCCTTCTGTATCCGTGCTGAGATATCGTCAGCGATCCATCCGTTGGCACCGGCTGATGCAACTTCCCAAATAAGTGATTCAGTCAACGCGCTCTACCACTTCAGTCCCTACCTTTAAGCTAGGAGTGATTCAATCTAGACGAGTCCTGTTGCATCATCTTACATTTAGCGGGAGCGAATCGCAGGCCAAATATTCGCAGATTGCAGCTCAAGGTGTTCAGAAGACTCTGCATTTTGTCAGCGTCTTCACCTAGGAGGGAGGACTATATCATCTGCATATTCTAAGTCAACAAGATTATTCCTTGATGGTAACAAGTCAATCCTTGAGTCGCTGAAGTCAGTTAGGGGATGAAGAAACCAAGAGGCTAGGAGTGGATGATAAAGTAAATTTCTGACACAGACAAACAATCAAGTAGACTGGGGAACGCAACTATGAGTTCAACTCAGTAAGTAAGAATCCGAAGACAAAATTAAATGGAACATTACTCAAAAGAACATAACAGTTATCGTTACCAGGGTAGTGAGAGGTTAGTGACGCGTGATTATTGTGGAACTATCTAGTCAAATCTTGATCACAGTTCACACGAAGTACACTATAAATAGTTAGTCTTTTAACACTGAATACTTTGTCTACTTACATCATTCTTGGAATTATTTTGCTTATACTTTCTATCTGTAACTCGATATCACTGTGACAAAAGGTATGTTCAGAAATTCTGTAACTTATAATTTGATAGTGTTGATTGATCTTGCTTTCTTTTGCCGTTGGATCCTTTGGTCTCCACACACAAGCCAACACAATCACTTCATTCAAAATTGTGCAGACCATTTACAAAATAAATTTCAAAAACTATAATAAACACTAAACTGATCAAAGTAGGTGTCAACTTTAACTCAGAATCCAAGAATATAAATACGCTGTGAAAAACACGATATGTATTCTTTCATATTGTTGCATGTAGATAATTGCGGACACTAAGTGGATTTGGAGAATGTAGAAATTTTAAAAACAGCGAAAACACCAAAAATACTACCACGGAATATCGACAAACCTGGTACTCAAATGAATTAGGAATTAACAAACACACTAATTACTATAGATCAAATTTACCAGCTAATAAGAAATAAATCCCATGACAAGAAAGTTCGAATTCTAAGTCAATAAAAATGATCAATAGAGATGTAAACTGATATCAAATGTTTGGAGGAGATCAACCTAGGTTTCGTGCTAGTTGACACTCGTCAGGAGAGATATGAGTCCCTTGAAGATTGCAGATACGCCTTGCTGACTAGTGAGTGCCAAAAAGCACGAAACCTAGGTTCAAGGTTGCCTGAGGATAGCCTCCAACCACTTAATATCGACAATCCACAGTGTAGTGCACCCTGTTGGTGAGCCACCTAACATGGTGGGCACACTGCAAACTTGACTGATAGAACTCAGTTCGCACTAAATAAAGGAACAAACACATTACACCAGTCACTGACTAGTGTCCAATCAAAGAGATGTATATTAGCAACCAATAACGACAATGGTTGTCAGGAGACACAATTACATCACCAATTATGCAGAATTCAAATAAGCACATTTCATACTATAACTTGCACTGAAGATGTCTTCTAGGTTGACAATGAGAGCTCCACAATTAAATCAGCCAGCTCACAGAACCAAATCAAATCACAATCATTCACCTGAGCTGCAAATCTTCTCGATTACTTTAAAAATGAGACCTACCGGAACATGTTAAATAACTTGAAAGCCTTGTTAACGTCACTTCTGTGTTCTGTATCCACAAGGAATTTATCGAAAAACATATTCTTGCCTGAATTTCCCTTTGTATTCTAAATAATAATTCATTTACCGAAACCAAGAATTCCTAATACTTTGAACTTGGACTATAGTGAGCCGACAGGGTGCATGTATACCCTATCCAATATTTTTATCCATTACTCATCTCCGTCTTTCTGCTATAAATTACACCAATTCATGTAAACCAATGATTTGAATAATCAGATTTTATTGAATTGACGACGTCTTTCTTAAGTATATGTGGAACAGATTTAATTTACAAGTAACATCTCACGTATTCACAATTCCTTCTTTATAAAACCAAGTAGAAATTTAGCGACCGTTTTTTACACTGACGACAAGGCTTAATCATCGAAACTTTTGAGAGAGAAAACTTGAGATTATTGGCTGTGAAAGCAGAAATCAAGAACTTGAAAATATTGATAAAATCAGGATACAAACCACCTTTGTCCCAGTTACTGGGATCTCGATAAAATCATCGGTAAAATGATCCATTACTGAAAATGTGGATGATGAGATTTTAATAAGTGGCAAATATAAAGAATAGTGTCCACGGAGTGCGACCACACCAATGACCCTAAAGTGACCAATGAGAGACAGCCGTGTATTCTATATAAAATCCCTTTTATTTCCTAGGAAAATACACATCATAATAATGAAACACAGTAAAGACGACATTTTACTCTGATGTAACTCAAAAATACCCTCCAATTAAAATGAGGAGCACCAGTGTCCAAAGCTCATATTCATTAAAACGGTTTCATTGATGTGAAAATCTATCCCCACCAAACCCATTTATTTGCTCGCAAGAAAAATACAGTTTTCAAGTATTGGTTTTTTGTAGGGATTCCGTTTGATTGTTTGGAGGATTTCATCATGAGCTTGCATCATTTATAGAACCATTGGAAAACTTGGGAGCGTTGCACAGCTGTTTCGTCCTAGTTTGGGAATCTTCACAGTTCGCACCCCCCGACAGGGTTCAAACCCATGACTTTTCAGTTACAAGGCGAGCTCATAGACCATTAAGCCACAATTATTGAAAATGAAACACAATATCTCAAATCTCAACCCTAATCCCAACCCTAAACCTAATCCTCACCCTAACTCCAACACGAATACTAATCTTAACCTTAGCATGCTGCCAACACATTATCCAGACAGTACTTAAAACCGAGATCGGGATGAACTTCGCAACTGACTTTCCGTACAGCCTTCATACTGGCTCTGTAATAACAGCAGGATCTGTAGTCCAACGAATGTTATGCGTCCAAGTTCACTTGTGCATTCGTACCCCATGGTTTCTGTTCTTTAGGTTGGCTTAGAAAACAATTTGTTTTCAAGCTGGATAAAACTGTCAGAAACTCGCCTGATGAAGTATTGTTCACCATTAGTAAACAGCAAAGCCTAAATTTGGTGGATGGTGACTAGCAGTGGAATCCAGGATGCGCGTTTCGTCCCATTTGAGACTCGTCATCTGGATGTGCCTACATTCCCCAGTGAGTGATGATGTTCCCACTGAGGCTCGAACCCTGAAGAAAATATTTTAAAAGGAAAAGTCTTTAAAGGTTGATACAAATGTTATCATTTTCAAACCAGCCAAAACTTTTTTATTCCACACTGAAACATTCATCTTTCCCTTAAATAATTATGTATGAATAGTAGGGGAGAATACGTACCTTATATTAAGTTCTGTTTATGAAAGATCTTATTAAATCTCTTTCCCACGCGAAAACATTTCCTTGAAAATCACTCCATGTTATCTTATTCTTATTTGTTTTTAAAAAAATTGAAAGAACTTTCAATAGCTTGTAAAATAAGACTTCCTTTCATTTTCTATCCCACATATATACATAGTCTGCTTTCATTTTATGTATTATCCTTTCTAACCAAATCCCTTTACAGAACAAGAGTGATCAAGTTATAGAATAAATTTATTTTTAGAAATTATTATTTCAACTGTTTAGTAAACTTTGGATTTTCCTGTTGAT